CTAAATAGTATTTTAATAAAAACCCTAATAGGACTTGGATGTATATTGAAGTTTGACAGAACTATCGAGTTTTGATCTGAAACTTTGTGCATATAGAGAACTCAAATAGACTAGTTTTCATAAAAAATTCAGAAGTTTTGAGTAAAATTTCTTCGAGACATGAGACTTTCAAGATAGAGACCTTTTTTCATGGATACTGTATTTTTTTGAAAGATTCATATAACACATATCCACAAGATACTATGTTGAATCCTCAGTACCGCCAGCCGAACTAATCACTAGCAGCTATTTGTCTCGAATCACTGGTCCGATAGCATGCTGACTACTTTGTGACGTACAGCTGCTTTAGAAAGCGCAAGAACTTTGCGTCAGAACGACTTTCTGTCCAAAGCTGCAACTAGTAATAGTTGTAGGGAAGATATCAGTCTATTGAATCTGCTACTAGGCAGCGTACCATGCCGAAAGGCAGCAGTATTTTTCTTCTTCCATGATTTCTACCTATGAGCTCAAAAAAAGATTATCAGCTAGAAGAGTTTCTTTATTAGACTATCAGTTCATTAGATTACATTTGGTATAACCCACAATCTATTAAATGAATTGAATAGTGTAACTCTATTTAGTCATATTTTAAAAAGAAAAGAGAATGCTAGTAGGTCAAAAAGTTTTCTTCGAAGATTTAATTTTCTGTAAATCTCTGAAAGAAATTTAAAAAAACCATCTTCCTAGTGATGATGCTTTTCGGAAATTTTTCTTTCTCTATAGATTAGAGCGATGTCGAAAATTTAGTACGATATTTAGCTAAGGATAATCGTCCGTCTTTTTTTAAAATTCAATTTCATCAGTTAAAAGTAATAGATTACAAGACTATTGAGCTATTTGACTAAGAAAAAGACTTTATAATTTCAATTTTAGTCTTGAACAAGTAACTTCGATATAAAAAATTTTTTTTAGATATGTCTGAACTAACAATTAGTTCTACTAATTGGCTTGCTATATCCTTACGAAATGATACTGCTATTGTATTCAATTTAAATGATACACAACAATGGCAATATCTTAAAACTGAAATAAATGATAATCAATCAAAAGAAACTACTCCTACGATAATTGATGATAAACAACAACAACAACAAGAAAAACCTGAAGTTGGTGGCGGTGATGATGATGATAATATTAATGAATTAAATCGTAATCTAATTAAATTTACACCTAATGGACAAAAATTAATTATTAATGGACAAAATAAACAAATATTTATTTATATATATTTAAATAATGATGATAATAATAATACAAAAATATATTGGCAATTACAACGAATAATAACAATAAAAAAACGTGCTTCAGCATTAGATTTAACTAATGAATTTCTTGTTATTGCTGATAAAAGTGGTGATGTTTATAAAACTGATTTATTAATTGATCAGAATGTTATTCTTACATCAGATGATTGTATTATGGGACATTTATCAATGTTACTTGATACTGTATTTGTTTCTATGAATAATAATCAACAATATATATTAACAACTGATCGTGATGAAAAAATTCGTTTAACTCATTATCCAAATGCTTATAATATTCAAGGTTATTGTCTTGGCCATACAGAATTTGTTTTATATGTTAAATTAATTGATCAAAATCATATTCTCTCAGCATCAGGCGATGGTTAGAAATTATTATTTTTTTAGATTAAAACAGACATCATAAGACCATAGAGTATACGAGGTATTCGATATATAAATGTTGTTTTTTATGTATTTAATGCATCGATGTTTGAAACTACCAAAACTCAAAATTTTAGCTTCCAAGAGATTTTCTTTGAAAATCTAGTCAATACTAACTTTTTAAAGTTTTATAAGGTCAACATGAATGAAAAATATTTTTCTTTGACGAGTCTAAGATGTGCACTTGATAACAATCTATCTGATCGGAGAGCTTCGAGCTGAATTTTATATATGTCATACAACCTTTTTCTTCTCTACAAAATGATTTTAAAAAGTATTCAAAAATAAATAGTATATTGGGAACAAAATGAGATTCACATATCTCTCTCTCTTATATAGCGATTTTTCAAAGGAACAAACTTTTTAAAGGGTCATCCATAGAGAACGATCAGATAAAAAATGCATTTTTCGACTTCTCTAGCCAGATTCATCGAGCCAGCCACTACCCACTAGAGTCCGTCGGGTCCAAGAATTTCTGGACCCGAACCCAAACCTTAGCAGTAAAGGTTTAAAAATCTGGGCCCGGACTCGACGAACTCTACTACCCGCCCAAAATAAGAAGGTTGCTAGTGTTCTGGCTACGCTCCTATGATAAGCAACAAACAAAAATCTAATCTATTGCGAGGCTTTTTTTAGAATACATTGTATTTTAATGAGCAGAAAATAATTTTAACAAATGAAGTTAAATACTAGTGACACTCGAACAGCTAATAATATTCACATTAATGCTCCAAAAAAAATCACTACCTTACCCATGTAGCATTATCTTCAATTATTTTAACAACAATATTCATATTTAATTCATTTCCTATTTAAGATTGCTCTTCAAAACGAGCTAAGTATCAGATTTCCATGGAATATTGTGCGAAAAAAAGGAAAATATTCATAGATGCTCAAAAATGTTTGAATTCTTCTTAATGTGACACTCGGAACCATCGTCAACAACTACATTGAATCAAATATATACATTTTAGAGAAACTTTTTTCCTGCGAAAATCGGCCGGTGGGGAGAACATAGGTGATTTTTTTCACAGAAAAAAAATTTTCTAAAATATAGTTTTCGATGCTGATTCCGAATATCACATTTATTTCGTTTTATAATTGTGTCATAGCAATAAAATTTGCTAATAGTGTTTTTTTTTTCTATTGAAAAATTACTATATCGGAGAGAGATATGAACTCGGTTTCGTCCAGAATACATCATTTATTTTTGAATATCTTTTTTTGCTATTTTGTGCAGAATAAAAAGTTGCATAACCTATATAAAATCCAGCTCAGAGTTTCTTATTTTCAATCCCGGCAAAAGATAGATTGTTATAAAATGGATATCTACTTATAGAAAAATTTGAATGAAAACCAGTACAACTTTTATAGGGCGTTTCTTTCGAAAGAATATGATAGTGGTAAAAAAAGTCGGTATTGACTAACTTTTCAAAGAGAAGGTAAAATTTTGTGTTCAATGATTTCAGACATCGATATATTAAATACATAAAAAAAAAGGAAATTTTCTTATCGAATGTCTCGTATACTTCATAGTCTTATGATTTCTCTTGTCAATTCTCTTTTCATTTTAGGTACACTTCGTCTTTGGCATTTACCCGATTGTATACAACTTAATGTATTTGAAACAAAAACATTTATATCATCTTCTAAACATTTATTTTATGGTTTGCCATCTACTACTTCTGAAGATAATGAATTATCATTAGATTCTTCACAAATTAATTATTCAATATGGAAAATGGATATTGCTTCATGTCGTTTAATAAATTCTAATATGACAGATGTTTTTATTGCTTTATCAATTTACATATATCGAACACATTCAATATATTTAACAACTTTAGAAAATCTTGAAAAATCAACAAATAAACAATATAAATTAACATTTAATTCAAAATATGGTACAATTATAGATTATTGTTTTTCATCAAAAGAATTTATATCAACATTACAATGTAATTTATATATATTATTTGATAGTAATATATTACTTAAAATAAATATTATTCCATTATTATCATCATCATATGATAAAAATGAAATATTAGAAAATGATACAACAATAAGTACAATAATAAATACAAATGAATTTAATTTCATAAATAATATAACTTCAAATGAAATAATATTTAAACAATTATTTAAAATACGTGGAAAACCAGGTGATAGTTCATATTATAAACGTAAAAATGAACGTATTGAACAACAAGAAGAAAAACGTAAAAGAAAAAATCAAGTATCAACACAATTTCAAGAAAAAGTTGCAATTAATGATAATGTTTAAAGTCAAAAAAAAAACTTATTCCATTATAACCTGATGTTTCTGAACTAATATTAAACCTACAAGAAGGTCTCAGTCAGACTAGGAAATAACGTAAAACGACACATTTTTAAGTATTTAATAAAAAAACACTTGAGAGTTCTCGTGGTTTTTTTTTGACCAAAAACTTGATGTCAAGTTGAACATTTTGATAGTAATCACATTGAAATTCTTTGTTTTTGTTTAGTATAATGCAAAATACCAGTTTTCTCAATCCTACCTGCTTACGACCTCTCTCTCAAACTTTGTCCGATTGGACTGAAATTTTTACCACAGATGCTTCGAAGTATTTTCCAGAAGTACATACAATCAGCTGTTTTCATTCTGCACTTTCCCATCCGAATTCATAACCTCTGAGTATTTCTCTCATCAAGAAAAACTTTCAGTCAGATTGAATAAAGTTTTGATGGAAGTTGTTATGCACCATGATGCGATTCTATCAAAAGCTCTCTTGAAAATCTTTTCCTTGAACACATGTCTCCTTATTCCGCGTGCTCTATCTGTGTAGTAAAAATTTCAATTTGATCAGGTGTATTCTCTTCGATTATCAGAAATGATCAAAAAAGACAGTGGGATACCTTTGAACAACGGAATTTTACTTTGAAATTCTTTTCGTATGAGCTAAATTTCAGTAAAACACTCACAAATCAACTACAAAAGCCTATGCGGATGAATCTTTTTAGATTTTTTTCTAGTCTTACCGATACTTTCTTGCCGATCAAATATGAGTTCAAACCACAGGTTATAATTGGAGTCATTTTCGCGTAACTGAATTTTTGCTATATTCGTTTGATATAATCCACATAGAAGGTGTATTAGTGTGTTTTTATTCCATTCTATATTGTATTAATATGAAAGAATACAACTTGTTCTTTTTTTCACTGTTATCTATGAAACACAATAAGATATTCTGACATTTTGTGATAACTCTTTTGTTTTTGTTACAGATAATGACTTCATCGTCGATTAAAAATGCATATCGACGTGTTCCTTCTTATGTAATTTTATTTAATCGATTAATAATTTATCGAACTGCAACAACAGCATCATCTCCGATGACATCTGAATCATTAAAAAATCAACAAAAATCACAATCAAAAGAGAATAAAGAACATGATAAGACTAAAATAATTCGTCCAAAAACAATATCATCATCATCATCATCAAAAGATAAAATTATTCAAAATGATGAACAAGTACGAACATCAAATTCATTTGTTATGAATTTATTTCGTGGTCAATTTTATCCTCATGAAATATTTCCATATCCTAATGTACTTAATGAAGAACAAAAAGATAATATTAAAATGCTTATTGATCCAATATGGAAATTTTTTGAAGAAAAAAATAATCCAACAAAAAATGATCAACTTGAAAAAGTATTCTATTCAATGATCAATTCATTATTAAGAAAAAAAGAATTGTTTTTTTTTTTTTTGTAATAGATTCCCAATGAAGTAATGAATGGTTTAAAAGAACAAGGACTATTTGGTATTCAAATTCCTGTTGAATATGGTGGTCTTGGTTTAACAAATACTCAAGCAGCATGTCTTTTTGAAATTATCAGTGCTCATGATCTTAGTATTTCAATATGTACAGGTGCACATCAATCGATTGGTTTCAAAGGTATACTATTATTTGGTACTGATACTCAAAAACGAAAGTATCTACCAAAATTAGCTACTGGTGAACATATTGCAGCATTTGCACTTACAGAACCAACAGGTATGAGATTTCAATCAAAAAAAAATTCAATGTTTTCATTTTCTTTGAATTATTCGAAATAAACTTTAAGTAGAATTTTTTCTCATTCATATTGTTGTCTGTTTTGTGTCAGACATTTTTGTACATATCGTACTATAAACAAAATCTAGCTATAACTCTGTATGAGAAGGCCTTGAAATTATTGTCTTTTGAGGATTTTTAATATCTCATTGGAGTCTACCTTATGTATAGAGTCCGAACTCAAAAGCGATTTTCAAGTTGGGAAGGCTCTCTCTCTCAGACAGGTGAGTATCCGGCTGGGATTGGTGCATATCTAGTCTACGGACTCTGGATACACGCTAAGCTCTACTTATATAGAACGTTATGTATTCTTTATTCCAATGATCTTTGAAATTTGCTTCTTGAATATATTATCAAATGATTTACTATAAATAACTTATAATTAAAAATTTCATGTATTTCAGCTGGTAGTGATGCTACTTCAATTAAAACAAAAGCTGAACTATCATTCGATGGTCAATATTATATATTAAATGGTACAAAAATTTGGATATCAAATGGTGGTATTGCTGATATATTTACTGTATTTGCACAAGTACCAACAATTGATGATAAAACAGGTCAAAAACAAAATAAAATGACAGCATTTATTGTTGAAAGAAAATTTGGTGGTCTTACAAATGGACGACCAGAAAAAAAGATGGGTATTAATGGATCAAATACAGCTCAAGTTTTTTTTGAAGATTGTAAAGTTCCTGTACAAAATGTACTTGGTGGTGTTGGAAATGGATTTAAAGTAAGAAAAATGAAAATAAGAAAATGAATTTAGTTTTTTTGTTTTATTATTTAAAGGTTGCTGTAAATATTTTAAATAATGGACGATTTGGTATGGTTGCTGGTTTATCTGGAACAATGAAAATGGCTATTCAAAAATCGATTGTAAGTTTCTATTAAGGACATCTTCTCTTTTGATCGTTATAGAAATGAAAAGTTTTAATTGCAGTTTAGAATCTTACAAAAAAGTCTGACTTTATGAAGTTTCTAACATAAAAAAAAATTACGTTCTAGATCTTTCTTATTTAGTACATAATCTATACTAAATCGGTTATTTCATCGTCAAAATGTGTTGCATGAGTTGAAAAGACATCCTATTCTTTCGCATTTTTCCTAAAATCAGTTTTTGAAAAGAAAAATCGAAATTATCTTCCTGACACATCGACCGATTGAGCTAACATTTTTTTATTTTATAAAATTTGTATCAATCGAAAAATATCCAAAAAAAAATTAAGCCTTTTCAGGATGATCTCAATACTTTGACTCTCATTTTACAATAGCTTAACATTTTTTAGAGAGAGAGAAACAAAGCTTACAATCCAATTGAGTCCTGATTGCCATATAAAGGCGGATAAATTTCCGAATAATGGTGAACGGAACACTTCAGGTCAATTTTAGCCGTTGCATTTTCTATATCTCATAGAAGAAAGCATCCTGAAATTTCGAGTCTAGGACAATTTTTGTTCTACTCATTGTATAGGTGAACGAGAAATTAAATTTATTCCGTTTTATGTGCTAACACACCTTTTAACACTGTAGGAAGATTTGAGTTCCTTTAGGATGTGAGTAAAGGAAACACGCCCATCTACGCATACCCAATCGAAGCCTGAGGTGACTAATAGATGAACAATATGAAAGTCGTAGCATCTTGAAAAGTATATGAAAGTTAAATGAGATAAATTTAATTTCTTGTGAATTCTCACTCATCGAGATCAACGGTGCAACGGTGACGATCATTCATCGGTCCGCATAGAAGGATTTTTTATAAAGGTTGACAAAAGTAAATCATAGTCGATGAATCCGAATCTGCTGCAATCAGTTTCTCGAAATTCTGTACTTGTTTTGGTTACGAAAAAATCGGTTTTTTTGTAAAAAAAAAAAAAAGAACGAATACCAAATTTCGAAAAGCCGATCGCATATTCGAATTTCCTAACTCCGATTTATTTTCGTCAACCTTTATAAACAAAAATCATTATTTTCTCAAAAAATTCTTTCTTTCGTGAGAACCGACTTGAACCGATAACCGTGCCTATGGTTATCGTCATCGTTGCATCTCTAATCGAGATCTATTTGCCTTGAAAGTTTCAAGATTTCTTATATAGCCGTTCTTGAAAAACTTTGGAAAGAGATGTCTTAAGAAAATCAATAACATGTAGAAAATATTTAATAGAATTTTGCTAAAAATCGTCGTCAATTTGGTCGTACTATTGATACATATGGTAATATTCAAGAAAAACTTGTTCGAATGGAAATGCGACAATATGTTACTGAAAGTATAGCTTTTCTTTTGGCACAAAATATGGATCGAGGAATATCAGAATATCAATGTAAGAATTTGTTTTTGTTTTTTGTTTTTGATTTTTATTTTATATTTATTGAATTAGAATTTTAGGTGAAGCAGCTATTGGAAAAATCTTTGCATCTGAATCAGCATGGTTTGTAGTTGATGAAGCAATACAAATTCATGGTGGAATAGGTTTTATGAGAAACATTGGTCTTGAACGTGTTTTACGTGATTTACGTATATTTCGAATATTTGAAGGTGCTAATGATGTTCTTCGTTTATTTATTGCTCTTACTGGTTTTCAATATGTTGGTTTACATTTACGTGAATTACAAAAAACAGTTAAATATTTTTATTTTAATATTATTGTTGGTGAAAGTTCAAAACGTTTACGTCGTGGTATTGGTATATCATCAGGTCCAAATATAAATGAATATATACATTCATCACTTCATCCATCAGGTTTACTTTTATCAAAATCTATTGATTATTTTGGTATAGTTATTGAACAACTTCTTATAAAATATGGTAAAGGAATTCGTGATGAACAATTTATTATTCATCGTATTGGAGATATAACTATTGATTTATATTCTATGGCAGTTTGTTTATCACGTTGTACACAATCATTTCAAAATCAGATATCATCAGCTATACATGAATCTAATTTAGTACGAATTTGGTGTGAAGAAGCTTATGAGAGAATTAATAATAATATAAATCTTATTCAAAATTCCGCTTTTATTGAAAGAACAAGATTAATGTCAGAATTATCTGGAGAAATTATTGATAAAGAATCAACTGTTCCTGTACATCCATTGAGTTTTTGAACGATACTTTTTCTTTTTTAATGATTTATTTATATTTTCTTTTTTTCGAAAATTTATTTCTATTTTAAAGAAATAATTGAAGTACTTATTTTTATGTTATACATATATTCGGGCAGATTTTGAAAATAAATAAATATGTTTGTATTAATGAAAGAATGAAAGAAAAATTTATCATATTCATATTTTTCTAATCGAAATTGAATAGTCACCCTGAAGATACGAGATAATTTTGTTCAGATTTTCGTATTCGATGACTAGCGCACTCTGTAACATTCTTTAGACGACTAGAGACGGTCGGGGTCCGAAAATTTCTGATCCGAATCCGATTAACCCTTTGAGTCCGGGATTATTTTTATATAGTATAAAGAACGCGATGGGTTGATAGGCGAATCAGCCCTACAATAAGTTTTGGATTCGAAACCCCAACTATATTACACCAAACGAAAGAGCTTAGTGAGTTGAGCATTTTTTGTGACGGAACTTGATCTTTTAAATGAAACCATGAAGAATTTTCAATAAACTAAATTGTAAAATTTCAGTCTTTTTAATCGTTGTCATGCTCGGAACTCTTCACGGTTTCATTTAAAAGGTCAGGTTCCGTCACAAAAAATGCTCAACTCGAGAAGCCCTTTCATTTGGTATAATATAGTTGGGGTTTCGAATCAAAAAAATTTTATAGGACTGATTTGCCTACCGACCTCTCTCGTCCTTTTTACTACATAAAAATAATCATGGACTCAATGGGTTAAGGAAGAACCCATAATTATCAGTAATTATAGATAACCTTAACCGCACAAATATTCTAAATACAAATATTTATGCAATTTATACTATTAAATAACTAAAACACCATGTTTTTTAAAGGTATTCAGTGTACAAAATCCCAGGACGCACATGTGCGTCGCCCAGACCCAAAGGGTTAACAGACAATATTATAATGCTGTTAAATGAACTGGATCATTAGATGTATAATATATATCTAATGATTTCTTTGATATGATTTGCTTTTGATAATAAACATTCGTTTATTGTGTAAAACTTCCACTCAATATTTATTTCTTGGTTTTTCTAGTTGCTTTCATTCTAGTTCTATTAACATAAAAAAGAAAAAGAAACACAAAATGATCATAATATTCTGAATTAGTGAAAATATCAAAATTTCTCTTTCGAAGCTATAATTGACATTGTAAATTGAGACTGACAAATAAAATGATATTCTTTGCATTTGAGCTTGTTGACATCAGAAAAGTTTTATTTTTTATTTTTTTAAATAGTTGTAATATTCACATGTTTTCTAAATAAGCTGTATTGATAGATAACATATATATGTACTGCTGACTTCTTATTATTCGAAGATACAAAATAACAATAAAGTATAACAAAGTCAAATATGTACTTTTCGTTTTCTATTTTTGAATATTGTTTGTCTGTATTATAGTATTCCCCATTTTGATGATAGAGAAGCCTTTTTCTTTTTCTTCAAACTTCATTACTCATTTTATTATTTATTTACACATCAAAGAAATATGAAAGTATATGTTAATGAATAATATGAAACAAAATTTTTATCTTTCAATCTGTAGAGAATTATCAATATAAAAAAGTCATGTTTGTGCATAAATCGATTTGTTAATTATACCGAATCAAATTGTTGAAGACGTAACGATACTAAGCGGAATCGTAAAAAACAACCGCTCAATAAAGATACATCTCAATAATGAACGGTGTATATATGTATGTTTTAATCTAAATAAACGAATATTAAATATGTGTGAATAAGAAAGTAGTAAAACAAAATGAAATATTGATTTAAAGAAAGAGAAAATGTATAGATAGTTTGTGTTGTAATAAAAGACATTTGAACATTTTGTTTTATTATTATTTTCACCCACCTGACTTTTTTTAATTTAAATAAGCTGATGCACTTGGTAAATTTATAAATAGTCAAACATTGAATCGAAAAAAAAGAAGAAAAGTAATCTAGAGAATAACCTATGTTGCTATCGATTTCCATCTGTTTTCTTTTCTTCGTAGTTTGCCTATGTTAAATGTATGAATTATTGAAGAATGTGGCGCTTGATGAATCCATCAAATATAATTCAATCATCTTTTTTCTTTATTTTTTTCATTTTAAAATTGTTCAAGTGTAGATCTCGTATATGTTTGCAAAACTACCTTTTTTTTTCTCTCTTCTCTTTTGCCTATAAAAGAAAAAATAGAGGAAAAGAACAATGTAAGAGCTCTTCTCTCTCAAGTGTGACGACAAGTAAAGTGATTAAATGCAAGGAAGTCAACAACACACATGAGAGAAGAAATTTTTTTTTTTCATTTCTAAATTGTCCATCATGTCTCTCTTTCGTACTGGTTTGTATCCATACGAGTTTATCGATAAGTGTTTTCTTTTATTTCCACTGTAACGATTTCCTTTTCTCGTTTTTTTTTTTTTTTGTCATATTCTTATGCATTCGAAGAACATTATACAATAAGTACAACATCAACCGTTTCGGCTCATGAATTTCAAACGAGTCAAAAAAAAAACAAGTGTATATTTAGAATGCAATACAACAAAAAAAACTTTACACAACTAAAAATTAAAATGAATTTTTGCATTGTCACTGTCTACTTATCTGTTCGATGTGGAAATGAAAGGAAATTAAAATATCGAGACATATGAACTAAAAACATTTCAAATGAATGTGAAATTCTACCAAATTCTTTTCTTCTTTAAAAGTGATAATTAGATTTGATAAAATATACCTTTTGTATGTATATGAGCACAAGACAAAAAAAAAAAAAAAAAAAGAAAAAAAAAAAAAAAGAACAAATGATGGAATAAAATATCTCATGGAGATTTGATCATCAAATAATAAGCTAAACTTACTAATGTGAAATGATGAAATTGCATACTATATTTTTCTTTTCATATATGTAATGTTGTGTATGTGTATTTTGAAAGACGCAGGTAGCCGACTGTTGTGTTGAATGAAGGAGAGAATAGTTGTTACAGTAGAAGTATAGAGAAGAAAAAAAACCTGAGAGAAAATTATGAAAATGTTCGTTAAGAGTGTCTACACGTAGCAGTGCCTCGATCTCTTTTATTCTCTCTCTCTCTCTCTCTCTCTCTCTCTCTCAATGTACGATGCATTTTGAAATTCCATT